CTCTGGAGAAATGGAGGTACGAAGGGCCGTAAAGCCGCCACCACTCATGGGTGACCAAAATGGCCATCAAGACTGTCCAATTGGAGATGGACAATACTCCACTTAAATATGGCTCGCCAGTAACATTACAGTGGTCCATCAGGATCCGTGGGCCCCCAGCCTATCTTAAAGACTATGAATATTGAACAGACTGAGGGTAAGAACTATCAAAGAGGGGAGGGGGATTATGTATTGAATACATATAGTTGTGTTAAGACCTGCTAAAGTGAAACTAACCTTTAGATGACCCTAACTGTTAACTTCAACTGTTTTGGAGGGAAACTTAGAACATTCATATTTGGGCAAGCTTTTTCAAGTACTATGATTGGTTGAGGCCCTGTGGGCCCAGAGTATAAATTACAGAAATTTGCCTGTTGTTCAGTAGTTCCAGTTGAGTCAATAAATGCTGTTGTATCTATGCTATCTGTTCTTGCCTACCGCAGCCCGCAACATAATAAGGCTAGTTCAATGTTCTCAGTCTTGCAATATGAAGATCTGTGGACTTCCAGAATTCCCCCTCCAGCATAGCCACCCAGAGTCATAAAGTGCATGGCTATAGAAATTGAATAACAGAATGAATGAATGAATAAATATGCTGGCTGAGGAATTCTGGGAGTTGAAGTTCACAAGTCTTCAAGTTGCCAAGGCTGAGAAACGCTAGTCTAGCCTCAACATACGGTAGCTGCAGCTCACAAAAACTTTTGCCTTTTACTAAAAACGTTTGCCTTTTAATAAAATGTGTTATTTGGAAAAGGTGTTATTATCAGCAACAAAAATGCTGATTTTTGTTAGCATTTGTTTAGTGACGTTACAAAGGCATTGAGAAAAATCACTTCTTCCATTTTTCACACTTATGACTGTTGCAGGCATGTCCATGGTCATGTGATCAAAATTCAGAAGCTTGGCCACTGGCTCATGTTTATGACGGTTGCAGTGTCCTGAGGTCATGTGATCACCTTTTGTGGCCTCCTGACGGGCAAAGTCAATGGGGAAGCCAGATTCACTTAACAACCGTGTTACTAACTTAACAGCTGAAGTGATTCACTTAGCAACTCTGGCAAGAAAGGTTGTAAAATGAGGCAAAATCACTTAAGAAGTCTTGCTTAGCAACAGAAATTTTAGACTCATTTGTGATCATAAGTTGAGGACTTCCTGCATGGCTCTCCTAGAATGAGTACAAGCAGGAAGCAGCTACAGCTAGCAATATTGTGTTTGATCATAGAGCCCCCTAAAATCCTCCCACTAATTTTCTTAACATTTTTTCAGCCGTCATTATTAAATCTTGGGTTATTGAGCCTTTGAATGAAGGCAGGGGAGGGGTCCTCACAGGGCCGTCTGAGTCACGAGCCCTCCCCTCACAGTGATCTGTAGACGGCTGCTTCCTTCACCCCAACTTTTGGGAAAGTTCCCCCATAAACTAAACAGGCTGCTTTTCTGGAGAGGAGGTTGCATATTTTTCATCAAAATGTTTGGAACCAAAGCTTGGACCCTTCATTATTGGAATACAAGAAGATTTGTCTCCTGTCAGCCAACCCGCAGATGGTGTGTATCACAGGTTGCCTTTGCAATGGTTTCCTTCATCCTGTCAGGCCTGGCCTGTGTCAGCAAACCCTCCCTCCCACCCTCCAGCTGCCCTGTTTATCCTCCAACAGGAAATTCACAGCTGGAATTGACCAGCAAACGGAGGCACCAGAACCCCAGATAAGGCTCCAGAGACACGTTGCAGCTGGAGATGGGGAAGGCAGCCTAATCAGCCAACTTTTTTTCCCTTCTGATCTGATCCCTGTTGTTGTGGGAATGGGGGTAGAGGGGAAATCCCAGTCTTAATTGGTGGCAAATGCTGAAACTCGATTAAAAACCCATGTTCCCTCTCCCTATAGCTGTCATCCAGTCTGCTTCTCAAAGTTCTCACACCGAGGTATCTGCCTAGTGCAGAGTCCAAAAAATGTGTAGTCAAAAGTAAAAATAAAAAGATAGCAGCCCGTGTAGGTGCAACACATAAAAAAACAGAGTTTCAATCAAACGCTAATTAAATTGGTTCTTTTATTTGCAAACTCAAATTAGTTCTTTTATTCGCTTTGTGGTTAATTTTAATGTTTTAATTTGAACATTCAATATTTTTAGGTACTTAAAACCACGACTTAGCCATGGTGGCACAGTGGTTAAAATGCAGTATTGCAGGCTAGCTCTGCCTACTGCCAGGAGTTCGATCCTGACCGACTCAAAGTTGACTCAGCCTTCCAGCCTTCCGAGTTTTGCAAAATGAGGACCCAAATTGTGAAGGGGCAATATGCTGACTCTATAAACCACTTAGAAAGTGCTGCAAAATACCATGAAGCAGTATCTAAGTGCTATTGCTATTAATTGGTAGTACAGTGGTCTAAAGCACCCTGTTATTAAGACCAGCGGCCTGCAATTACTGCAGGTTCAAATCTCGCCAGGCTCAAGGTTGTCTCAGCTTTCCATCCTTTGTAAGGTAGGTAAATTGAGGACCCAGTTGTGGGGGCAATAAGCTGACTTTGTATAAATATACAAAAGGATGAAGGCTATTGCTTAGCACATTGTAAGTCGCCCTGAGTCTCCGGAGAAGGGTGGCATATAAATCAAATTTAAATATAAAATTCTTTAATCCTTTGTATCATTGTTTATGACATTGTAAGCTGCTCAGGATTGCTTGATAATGAAATGGGCAGCATATGAATTTAATAAGTAAATAAAACATTGTGGCTGCTATTTTAACTTTTTTGACCACATCCATGAATATTCTCCTATCTTGCTTTGCTTATTGGGAAAGGAAACTTTGTTAAGGAATGCAAGCAACATCCTGTTGGATCACAGCAGAGCCATTCTCGTTCAGCAATTGGTTCCCACAGTGGCTGACAAAAAGAAGCTGGGATATGAATGTAATTGCTTACTTCCTGCTTGTGATCCCTGAAAACTAATATTTGATCCTGGAAGTAATCTACAGCCATTGTGGCTAATAGTTGTGGCCTGATTCAGCCAATACAAGCTCAGTAAAATAATTCAGATATTAATACCCCACCACCACCACCACCAAAGAGTTATGGGGGGTCCTTTTCAACCAGGGTGTCCCCATACCTATCCCAGTACAGATAGAGATCAAGAACTTCACAATTTAACAGTGTTTCTCAACCATGGCCACTTTAAGACATGTGGACTTCAACTTCCAGAATTCCCCAGCCAGCCATGCTCATTAAGGAATTCTGGGAGTTGAAGTCCACGTCTTAAAGTAGCCAAGGCCGAGAAACACTGATAATAGTGCATTGTGTGTATTCTCTGATCAATCTTCTAACCACTTCCTCCTATTCTCCTCTCTTCTTCTATTCTCTCCTGACCTCCAAAATCCAGCTGGACCCAAAGAATACTGTTCACCCCCACCCCCAAAATGTCTGCTTTGCAACTCCTTGCATTCCGCCTGACTTCGTGCTTACCACTCACATGTTGGCATTTCGGGTCTGACCACCGGAAACGAAGGAAATGCTTTGCAAATGACAAGCAGCTGCGGGGAGGGTTGGGCCGAGCCACAGGAAACATGAGGCCTCAAGATTGGGTGCATGACACCAGCCTGTCCCTTAGTCCAGGCACGGCTAAAAAATCCACAGTGCAGGGCCAATCAGGTGAGGCAGAAACTTCCCATCTGTTGCAAAGCCCTTTCAAGGGTCATCAGTGCATTTGTGTGCCCGGTTAAATACAAGGCCATGCTGAAGAGAAAGTACAGCATTATGATGTGGCTGGAGGTCTGATTCCTGGTATCCCCAGCTGGCATTTTGATAGGATTAGACAGCAGGCAATAAAAGGAGCATGGCTGATACCCAGAATAACTACCAGCTATTAGGGCAAACAATAGTGACCTCGCTGATTTATCCTTAGCCAAAATTAGCCTATTCCTCCCTGGGACCTGCTAGTTTCTTCAGAACCACAGCTTCTGAATGCCAGAAATGGCTTCAACTAGTCTGCCATACACTTTTTTATTAATCAACTAGAATTTTAACCCATCTTTATTACTTTAACAAATAATACAAGGCAGCAAACATATATATCACTTCCTCTTGCTATTTTCCCCACAACAACCCTGTGAGGTGGGTTGGGCTGAACGAGAAGGACCGGCCCAAAGTCACCCAGCTAGCTTTCATACCTTTAGACAGAACTAGAACTCACATTGTCCTGTTGATTGACCCAGCTGGCTTTAATGGCTATGTAGGACTAGAAATAAATCTGTTTTACAACCAACGTTGGGCCATGTTTACACCCGCGATTTCCGCTATCGGTTCAAGTGAATTGGTCCGAACCGGCTGAATTTCACATCTGACCTTGATTCAGAATACTGTTATACAGATAGCCCTCAAACTTACAACAATTTAGTGTGTTTAGTGAGAGTTTGAAGTTACAATGGCACTGAAAAAAAGTGATTTGTGACCATTTTTCACACATACAACCATTGAAGCACCCCCATGGTCATGTGAACAGAATTCAGCCGCTTGAATTTTGCAGTATATTTATGATGGTTGCAGTGTCCCAGGGTCATGTGGTCATTTTGTGACCTTCGGACAAGCAAAGTCAATAGGGAAGCCAGAATCACTTAATAACCATGTGACTAACTTAACAGTTACGGTTGATTCACTTAACAACTGTGGCAAAAAAGTAATAAAATGGGGCAAAATTCACTTCACAACTGTCTTGCTTAGCAAGAGAAATTTGAGGTTCAGTTATGGTTGTGGGGGCGCAGTGGTTAGAATGCAGTACTGCAGGCTAACTCTGCCGACTGCCAGCAGATCCTGGAGCAATATATATGTCTAAAGGCTATTGCTATGGTCATAAGCTGAGGCCTAACTGTAGTTCTTCTTCAATGCAAGAAAGCCCACCTTTGAGCAGATCTAGAACTCCTGCCATGAACCAGCCAGTGATAGCAAAGATCATACACAAATATCATACACAAAAGCAACCGAAACTAATTTGCTTTTAATTACAAGAAATATCAAACACTTTTTGGTCACTGTACAAATAGTCTGATAGTAGGCTGATAGTTAAACACATCAAGAGGGGGAGCTGTATAAACGTTCTCTTACATAGCAATCCCATAAAATGAACCATTACAAAATAATAAATGTAATGTACACAGAGCCATCTTGCTACATCAGTTGCAAGGATTATTTAAAAAATAAAAAAATTAAAAGATCTAAATCTGTGGGGATCTAAGAAATAGGTTTCAGGATTAAATCTTGGACGGGAGGGCGAGAGTTTTGGAAATGCATACAAATAGTAGAGAATAGCAAACAGGTGGTTTTTTTCTCCCAAAGGAAAACTGAAGATCAGAGACCAGCCCCAATCTCATTTGCAGTCAATAACCAAACCTCCTTAGTGGAGCAGCTTTAAAATCATACCAGAGATAAAACACGCTCACCACCATGGGGGGGGGGAGTGTCCCGTTTCCCCTATTTTAACATGGAGATAGTAGAGGGGCAATTTGGGATTGCAATATACATTGGGGCAGAGCCCTCCATATAGCTTGGATTGCAACATCTGTCATGCTCACAGGTTGGAGAGTTTTGAATGCTGTACTCTTCACCGCTCAAGAACCCACTTTTAACCCCAACCTGCCTGATGCATGAGACACATTTTTATTTCTTTTTATGTAAATTAGAAACCTCCTCCTCTTTTGGATTATATTCACAATGCAGACATACTGCTTTAGGAACTGTAGCTTATATTAGGTAGGTAAAGTCACCACCTAGTAAAGAAGAATAAAACAGTGGAATTGTAACTTTGAAATAGACACACCCATATCTTTACTCCCCCCCATCCCTCCTCTCACCTCTTTGTCATCCCAATATTTTTATTTTGTCTTCTTCACCAAACAGCATCATACTTCTATCATCTTGTTACTTTTAGGGAGTCCATTGAAAACCAGAATTCCAGAGCAGTCTCCTGCCATAAATTAGAGTTGATGCACTAACTATTTGGAGCAATAACTGGTAATATATTGTGATTATCTGATGAAATACTCTTCAGCTAAGCTTCTGTTTGTAGTTGGCTGCAGTTGAAAGATATCTCCACCCATAATAAATCTGAGTATTGACCAATATTAATTTATGGGACTCTAGCTTCTGTTGAAACTGTCTGTACATTACTTCCTGGAAAACCAATCTGTCCTCATACATTAAAACTCTTCTTATACCTCACATGGAAAACCTCAAATGACGGAGAACCCCCATTTCCTTAAGCTTCTCTGATACCCCCTACCCAAACCTATATTCTTCAGCTAAGAAACACAGGTACAGGGGCACTATATTCACTTCCAGTCTTGAAATTGCTTGCTGGCACATGGGATCCAGCAAAACAAAATTAGAAAACCACCACAAAGCCAAGACAGCTTTCTAAGAAAGGATGTGTGATGCAAAAACATGGTCACAACTTAATAGTCTTTTCCACTCCCCCATCCTCACTCGCCTGTCTTGTTTGAAAAAAAAAACAAAAAAAAAACAGTGATGTCTGGTGCTATACTACTAGAGGTTTAATCCCAAAGGTGCTTTTTCCTTGAAGACATCCAAGATGAGAAGCAAAATGTCTTCAAGGAAGAACAAAGAAAGTCCAGTTGCCTCTTGAAAAAGCACCTTTGGGACAACTGTGACCTGGATGACTGAGAATCTCCATAGACTACTAAAGGGTAAGTAACTGACATTTACTGCAAATATATTTAGCTCTTTATGATCAGAAGGATGCATCTGGCTGGTTAATTGGCATGTGCTCTCAAAGCCAGACAAAGACTTTGAATTTTAAACAAAACAGAGGCTGCATGATTGCTCTCTGTGAAATTAATTATTTCTTCCTCCTTCCTTATATTAAAAACTACAACTCAGTAGCAACTTCTGGAGAAGGTCGTTGGCTTCATCCAGAGCTTCTGGGAGCCACAGGTTATCTTAGTGTTTCTCAACCTTGGCAGCTTTGAAATTGGTGGAAGTCAACTCCCAGAACTGGATTTCAATTCCCATGTTGGCTGAGGAATTCTGGGAGCTGAAGTCCACTCATCACTACCTTATTTTGTAGCAATGTCAGTTGTAGTAATGTACTGAGCACCCTTATCTACTTTAATTCTGACATATTTAAATCTTGTCCCATTTAGGCAGAGAGGAAGGAGGTGGTAACACTCATTCTGGCAGTAAAAACAACTTTTCTTTTTTTGTAGCAGATAAAATACTTCAGGTAAGGCCATATACATTACAGTTCTATATACCTTTTCCATTACAATAAATGAATCAGGAGTAAGAACCCAAAAGCAGAAACACGGTGGAATCAAAAAAACATATAGACTAGATCCGCCTGTAAGCAATCCCTAAAACATCATTTCCCAACTATTGGCTATTTTAAGATGTTGGATGGGGAATTCTGGGAGTTGGTCCATACCTCTTAAAGTTGCCAAGATTGAGGAGGACTGCCCTAAGGAGCTGATCTAGATCTAGACTAGGAACAGGAAGATGAATAAAGTTTATGGGGCAGAACCAAGGGGTACAGCAAAGGGAAGGCATTATTTCTATATAAGCATTCTTATATTTAGCACAAACAAATCTACAGCTGTACCACCATCTCTGCATATGTACAGAGAACAGGCAGATTTGTTTCCCAACTGTTTACCATTAACTTCCAAAAATGAGTTGACAATGTTCCCACAGGCCAGTTTAGGGAAGCCAAGATAGCTGTAACAGAATATCACTTTAAAAAGAATGTAAAAGAAATATCTGATGGGCAAAAAGACAAGCTATTAATTTGATGGATCTGGGATTATAAAAGTGTTGTTCAAAAATATATTGGCCAGTATAAATCCCTCTCCAGTTATTGCCGCTTCCAGCCCACTGAATTGTATTAATTTAAAAGCACCTGATTTAAAAGGTTATCCAGTTCAAATTGGATAGAGATGCTATCTATGGATGCAACCCTGCCTTACCACCCAAACCCATCACAGCTTTAATGAAGAAAAAAAAGATGCATATTTTTTCCACACGAGCACTCCAAGTTTTGTCCTTCATAAATAAATCTGTTTAAAAAGTAACTAGCCAAAAGAGAGCGAAAAATAACACAGAATTGTTCCAGCCACCATATCCGTTGAAAACTTTGTTCTTTTTTGTGCATGACTGGACTGACAAAAAGAGATGCTTCTTTTATACAGGGTGCAAGAAACACTGAGGTGGGCCACTGGCAGAAAATTCTGTCCCTTGTCAGAGGCAGCTAGGTGCGTGCCTAATTGCAGTCCATTCAACTCTTCTCTTCTTGTTACGAACCAAACATCTTTTCTTCATTCTTCATGCCATGAAAGGATCTTCATCCTTTTCATTGACTTCAAGAAAATGTGTCAGTTCTTCTGCCTTCCCTCTAATCGTGTTCTTTTCTTAACACAAGATCATCTCTTAAGAAGACATCTCACAATTGCTTGGATACACAATACTGCTTGGATATACAGATCCACAGGTTTGAGAGGAAAACAACTGAATGAATTCTGAAATGGAAGCTATAGGTTCTGTTCGTCCATTGAAAAGAGACTGGTGGACAGAAAAGGACTTCATAGCTTTGAATGTTCCAACAGCATACGAGTTGGTACAAGAAATTGGCCACATAGTTGGAGATCATTAGACAGAGTTTCTAAAATGGTATCATTCTCTCTTAGTCTGTATTTTCAACCATGTGCCTCTCGGTTAAGACTGTGTCCTCACATTCTCTCAGTCTGTTCTCTTAGGTGACCTTTCCTCAAAGCATATTCCAAATTCATAGAGGGAAACCAACAGTGGGGGTTAGAGAGGTGGAATTCAAGACGGTTAAGTAAAAAATGACAAACATAAGAGCAGATGATGGACAGAGAGTTTCGTAATAGGCTCAGTGGTATGTCACTTTGATTCCAGATAGAGAGATGGGCTGAAGCCAAGACGTATTTTTCCAGTACAAAAAAGCTGCACTGTCCCAGGACTTGGAAGGAATACAAGAAGATGGGGAAAGAACAAGGATTATTAAGCACCTTCTGGAACTTATTTTTCAGAAGTAGCATCATGGAATGTGCCATAGGATTCTGATTGGCGTTTTCCTGTTTGAACACTACAATAAGAAATCTGAAGGTAAAAAAGGCTTCTCTATGGGAAGAAGCAGGGATAAAATGGTGGATTAGCTAATAGTCATTTGCTGGCCATATTTGGCCAAAAGGCTGCCAGTTGCTGAATACTGCAGTAGAGGTTGAAAGACTCTGCAAGAGTGGACTGGCAGAAATTTTAGGATGGGGAAAAGAAAGAGCAAAACCAAGATGTTCCTCCTCCTATAACCCAATCTCTTCATCTTGTTCATCTTCAAAACTGTAGCCCTGTCCCTCCTCTTCTTCCTCCTCTTCCTCCTCCGCCTCCTCCTCTTCTTCTTTTTCATCTTCCTGCTGGGAGCATTCCAATGGGCTTGAGCTCTCATCCCTCAATACTTCCTGATCCTGCCCTTTAATATTGTCCCAATCTTTATCCATCACTCCCAGCACATCCTCCAAGATGGAAGGGCCCAAGTCCAGCTGGAAAGAGAGAAGGGATTCAGCATGGTCCAGTGTGGGACTCTCCAGGGAGAACTTGTGTTGCAGGTCCCAATCTTTTCCATTGGGGGGCTTCCAGTCAGCCTTCTCTGGGCTCTGCAGTACCACAAAGCTGCCATCAGGGGTTGATGTTGTTGGACTCTGGACTACTCCATTCCCGCTCCCAGGGGGAGAGAGCAATTCAAAGCAACCAGAAACATCTCCAGGAGAACCTAGAGACCCAGGAGACACTGCTATATCATGAGGCAACCCATTGGTCTTGGCAGCCCCATGGTTGCTAAGGAACGATGTGTCTCCAAAAGCATCGCCCCCACGGCCAATGTGCATCGTATGTCGAAAATCCCCCAAAGGGGCGCTAATCATGGCTCGATCCAGACGGGGCCTCTTCTTGGAATGAGAAACTGGAGATTGCTTGAGGATGGGCATCTGAAAAGAGAGACATAAGATTAGGGTCCAAAGCGTTCTCACTGGAACCAGCACGAGTTCATTACTTTCCTAAAGACTCAGATTTGAATCTCATCACAAATCCTGCCACAAAATCCCACACTGACACCCAGGTACAGCCTAGGTCTCATCTTTTGTGAGGCCCACGAGAACAAAGTGGCCTTCTGAGGATAAATAAAAGATTGCACATCCCATTGCAAGTCAGGAGCTCGAAGCACGAAACCAAAGCTTGAGCTGCTTATTTATTTAAAACATTTATATAGCCGAAGCATGAAACCAAAGCATGAGTTATTTACTTGTTTGTTTATTTGTTTAAAACATTTATATAGCTGCCTACCTTAAAGCCAATTCTGGGCGGCTTCCAATCAACTCCCATTGAATTAAGGCTATCATTTTTGCCCTAAATGAACATAATCCACTTTTAATCACACCATATATTAATTTACCCATGGCAGGATGTTTGCCTTTAGTGCTAATGTTAATTTGCGGTAGCCCTCCACGTAGTAGTCTTGTCTTCCCATAATTCACATTTTCCTTGACTCACACTTACTGCCGCTCCTTTCTAACCAACTTTGAGTTTATCTGCAACTTAGCTAACACTTTGGGCACATGACTCATCGTGAAATCTTCTGCTGTAATAAATTTGTTCAACTTGAAGGCAGCCAAGAGACTGTTGTGGCTTTCTTCTAAGAGAGATAGCACAGGAACCAATGATATGAAAAAACAATAATCTCAGAAGACAAGTTTTCGAAAACAGTTACCCTGTCTGGATTTATTTTCTTCCAAGGTGCTTAATTATGGTGACAATGGAGCTATCATATTTTAGCTCCTCTGAGATAGAAGAGACAAAAGAGAGAATCCCTTACACCAAGGTATTCTCTTGGTTTTGTCCAATCTATCGAATTCACATAAAATGTGCTAAAACTCACAAGGTCGATGCAAGACTTTTACAGGAGTCGATCTGGCCTTACTTTCCTTTCAGTCTGAGAGGGCAAAGATTTCAGGTTTTATGACAGGCAGAACCTGGGATAAATGAAAGAGTTGCAGGAATACTGTTCCCTCCTGACCCAGCTTAGGATATTTTTCACATACTGGCCACCCACATATAACTTGCCCAACCAGTTCTTTGACTGAGGAACACTTATGCTGCTCTGGGAGACTCAAGTTTCTGAAGAAGAGGAGCAAGATCTGGAGGACAGAAGATTTTAAGGACACCCAAGAAGAAACGACCCAAACTAGGTATCATTTCTTCGACAGAAGCAGAATTTAGTTGTGTTCATAGCAGAATATAGCATATTCAAGTTGTTACAGATCTTCTATAGGATCTATGCTTGAATTTACACAAGACACTAAGATATTATTTACTTAATTGTGGTTTATTAACCCACAATTGCCCAGTTTTAACACATCAACCCATGGTTAGGAAACCCAAATATCTGTGTTCGCTCAGCACACTAAACTGCAATGCGGTAGTTTGTTGTATTAAACCAAACTAGGTCTACCCATGGGTAACTGGAATGGATGCATTATCTAAGAAACAGGGAGCTTCTTTCTGTACAATGCTGTGAACATTCATGGTAATCACATCAGAAATATTGTTGGATACTTTGGTATGGAATTTGAGGTGTGGAAGGGAATGGCTGTTAAAACGGGAGAGTTTTTTCCTTCCCTTGACTCAGATACAGAAAACCAGACTGCAAGGAAGATCTCCCTCCTTCTGTGTTTTGGATGCTTTCCCCCAAATATTGTCCTGATGGGATTGTTGGCCCTCCCCTACACGCAAGGTGGACCAGGCCTACAGACGCTGGAGTTTCCTGTCTCTCCTGGTATCTGCCCAACATTGCAATGTTCTTGTCAGAGGTGTGATGATCTAAGAGAGATGATTCATGTTGAATGGGAATAATGGAGCTACACTGGGGGTGGAAGGGAGACATTGTCTGGACAAGTGTAGAGGAGGGAGGCAGAGGAGGGGAGAGGAGAGTCAAGCAAAGCTTCTCCTTCCCTCCAGAGCTCAGAAAGTGCTGACAGGAATGGAAAACGGCCTAAGAGTTGACTCAGCTGTGGGTGGTAAATAAACCCAGCGTAGATATCAGGAGCCAGGGGGAAAAACCCTCTGGAGTCCTGGATTCCTTCATCTTCTCTCCTAAGCTTCGTTGTTCCCTTTCTTTGGGATCCAGGAAGAAGATTTCCCACTTGATTACGAATCCCTTTGATACCGATGCTAGTTTCAGGAGTTGGCGGAGGATGGATGGATGGGGCCCTTTTCCTTTGTGGGTGAGAAGGGATGAGGAATAAAGGACGTTACAAGTAGTCCTCAGCTTACAACAGTTCATTTAGTGATCGTTCAAAGTTACAATGGCACTAAAAAAAAAGTGACTAACAACCATTTTTCACACTTACAACCATTGCAGTATTCCCACGGTCATGTCTGTCACGTGAACAAAATTCAGACTCTTAGCAACCATATTTATGATCTCCCAGGGTCATGTGATCAGCTTTTGCGACCTTCTGACAAGCAAAGTCGATGGGGAAGCCAGATTCCCTTAACAACCATATTACTGACTTGACCACCGCAATGATTTACTTAACAACGGTAGCAAGATAGGTCGTAAAATGGGTCAAAACTCACTTAGCAAATGCCTCACTTAGCTACAGAAATTTTGGGCTCAATTGTGGTTGTAATTCCTTTTTACTCTATTCCTTTTTATTGGAAAATATTAGAAGCACACAAGAAAAAAGCCAATAGTCCAGCAGTGTCCAGAGGTAGTGAGAGGGACCTTCCCTTTCATGGATATCATTTCCTCATTGGGAATCTCTTTAGGAGTGTCCTCTAGGTGTCCATGAGGTCCAAAATGACCAAAGCAACACTCAGCATTACACCACAAGCTCCTATCCTTTCACACTCATGAGCAACTCCATGACACATGTATAAGGAGGTAGCTTGCATTGCATCAGCCCAACGTTGCTTCTGGCTATTCTACCAAAGAGAACTACTTGTTAGTGGGTGCTATTAACGGTTTGGTAGAAATAAAGCCAATTCTCTGGATTCACTTCCATAAAGTTATTTTAAATCAAACAGGGACACAAACATCTTACCTATCCAAAGCGCTAATATTTTTGCTCAAGATTGCAAGGCAGCTATGGAGGGCAGTTACACAAAATATGCAACTGCCTTAAAGAAGTTTTTGGAACTAAACCCAAATGGCGCACAGGCTGAAGACCTTTGACACAGCCTGCAGTGATCTGAAAACAGCCCAAATCAATGTTTCTCAATCTTGGCAACTTCAAGATGTGTGGTCTTCAGTTCCCAGAATTCCCCAGCCAGCATTTCATGGCCTAAATCAACGATCCCCAACTTTTCCAGCTTAGTGGCCTGGCCCGGTGTAATGTGTGTGTGGGGGGGCAGGTGCATGCTCGTGCGTGAACTTCCACTCAAGTGAGCGGAGGGCTACTCTTACTTTCTGCCATCCATCATCTCTGTCCTTGAAAGTCCTTGAAACAGGACCCTGATTTCACAGATAGTATCCATCTCCCCGGTCCCCTGGGGTCCCTAGGACTAATGGCAGGTTTTGTTGCCTTCTAGAAAGACAAAAGGAACCAAGCCAGCCTCGCTTTTGGGATATTTCATAAACTGGGCATCTCCATAGAAAAGGCCCGCTGCCTGGGACCTATCAAATGTAGTCCTCAACTTACAACGATGTGTTTAGCAACCGTTTGAAATTCCAACAGCACTGGAAAAAGTAACTGATGATCAGTCCTCATACTTACGACTGTTGCAGCATCCCCACAGTCACGTGATCAAAATCTGGGCGCTTGACAACTGGCAGAATCCTGGGATCATGTGATTGTCACTTGTAACCTTCCGAGGTGGCTTCCGATGAACAAAATCAATTGCGGGGGGATGGAGGAAGCTGGATTTGCTTAATGACATGATTCACTTAACAACTACAATAATTCATTTAACAACCACAGCAAAAAAGGTCATAAAATCAGTGTGCCTCATTTAACAACCACCAGTTGGAGACCGTGAACCACCGGAAAGCATTTTTGCTTGCACGGTGCCTGCCATGTGCTTCCATCGGCCGTCCTGCACGGCAAGTATAAAAAGACACCATTGACTAAAAGACTCTGTTCCTGTGGCTCAGGAGAAATGGAGACCATTGAACACATTCTCCTTCGATGATCTTTTTATAGAGATATTCCCAATAATCGATAGGTATCCTGGCCGTTCCAGTATTACTTACCTCCAGTGGCTGCTTAAGGAACGAACAGACTGTTATTGCAGCGCAGGGGGCTAGATTCTGCACAGCAGCACTGGGGATTCGTCGGAAACATACCTATTTTACACAATTAATGCAGCAAACCCTTTTGCATTACTACTATTTTGCATTTTAATATTTAATGATTATGGGCGTCACAGATTTCAGGATTGATATTGTAGTATACTATATTATAGTACAGTTTTGCTGTGAATGGATGCAAAATTGTGATTATAATATAGATTTTTATCTGTTATTATTTTATTCTATAATTTTTAACTGGATATTCCTGGAGCGTTCTTAACTTGTTCTGGTCGCTTGTCTTTGACTGTAATAAACTTATTTGACTTGATACTTTGCTTAGCAATGGAATTTCTGGTCCCAATTCTGGTCATAAGTGGAGGACTCTAAGAGGACTGTCAAATAGTTTTCTATGCAAGCCGAAAAAGAGATCAGAGCTTGCTTGATTTCTGCTGAAATATATGCTACAGGGACAATTTATTCCATGATGATTCCAATTTGGAAGTAGGCTCTTAAATGCAATCCTTTTAATCCCAGAGTCCTTGATTATTATTTTAAGAGATAATTGGCCACAAAGTGGCATAACTGCCCACTTATGATGAGCTTAAACCTGCTGCAGCTTACAAATGGAAAGAGCAAAGAGGGAAAAAGAGGCAGAGCCAGGAATGTGTTCCTCTTCTCAGATGAAGTTTAAACCAAAATATCCCAAGGGGTAGGGAAGGCTTCTTACTTTTTAAAAATGAGAATGAATGAACTGCATTGAGACAAAGCAGTAGGCATGAGGTGAAGGAACTATCTTGAGAAAGCCATATGCATGTATTTGTGGGAAGCATGACATTCACATATCACCGGATAGACAAAGTAACCTTTGAGAATGAACTGCCTTTAAACCAGTGTTTCTAATTTATGGCAATCTGCCTGGGGAATTAGGGTAGCTGCCTAGGGAGTTCTGGGAGTTGAAAATCCACACATTTTCAAGATGTCAAGGTTGAGAAACCCCAGCCTTAGTTATTCATCAGACCAAACAAACTTTTATCAAATAAGTCTATTTTGCCTTCAAGTCTTTTTGCTTGAAGCTCCCAATGACCACTTGAGGGCTGCCTGCAGAGAGGGTTTTTGTGTAGCTTGTAGACGAGACACTTCCATTTGGTGTGGGTTTTTTTTTTTTTTTTTTAAATGCTTTTCAGCAGAATCCCAGCTTTCAGGGATGGCACGTTGGCTGTCTACCACAAAAACACATCAAGAGGGCATGCAAAAACGTGAGGCGGGGAACAGCTGAGAATCAGAACCACTGGATCTGACATGATCTTGGCATGATCCCAGGCGGGCTTATTCTAAAAAGTCTCTTGGGAAAATATATCTATTCCTTTCCCTTCCATCCTTCCCCTCTCTGTCTGCGGATGACAGATATGGTTACTAGCCCCAGAGGACAATGACGGAATTTCCTTCAAAAAATTAACACAAATCCTTTGGAAATGCTTGTGCACAGCTGGGATTAAGGAAACAGTTGGGCACTGGGCAGGGGTGGGATCTGGTGGGATTGCCTAACTCTGATGGAGCAGAGAAACTACATCTGTGTGGGGAAAGGGTCCATATTTTGTATTTATCTAGAAAAGGATAAATCTAGACCTAGCAAGCAGGAAGCGGAGAATGAGTTAGAAGAATGCTTTTTGGGGTCCTTACAGAAAGAAGGAGATCTAATGGGATACTGGGCTAAAAAACCCATATTGGGATTTCAAGGGGAGGATTGGTGGACCAGGAGAAAAATCTAGGGAACCACAGAAGAAAAGATCTAGAAGGAACAAGAGGGCATTTTATATCAGGGGTCCTCCAAGAACTAGGTTATTCAAGAGGAGAACCTCAAAACAGTGGGGCGGAGGGAGAAAGAGAGCTGGAAGGTGGTTGCATTGAAAGTTTTAAGATGCCAGGAAAAATATCCCAAGAAATTGAGGCAAAGATCTGTGGCTGGAAGGGTGGGGGTGTTAATGTGGCTTAGCCACAGCCCCCCCCTTCTGCGTCTTGCTTTCAACCTAGCAGTGGTTTGATTTATGACCACTCACTTATTTCTTCCCCTACACACACACACACACACACACACACACACACAGACAAGACTACCACACCCCCAAGTTTCTTTTTAATCCTTTTGCGAGATTAAAGGTCAGTTCGCCCCCTGCACTCCCTTCCTTTAGAGAAGGAGGCTATCCAAAGGCATCACCCTTTCCCAGTGCCTGCGCTGGCCACCTGGTTAGGTTAGCTGTTCTCCAGGTGAAATAAGAACCACAATTGAATTCTTTTTCAGCTCTCCAGACTCCCGGGTCTCATTTTGAAACTACAATCCTCCGCTACAGAGGTAGCACTTTAGTTTCCAGCTCATCAGCTAGCCCTAATTAAATCACACTCTATAGTAGGGGACTAATGAGTCCCAGTTCCTGGCTGGCTTATTTTACTACAGCCCAAGCTACACTCGGAGTCACACACCCCCCCTTCACCATCCCGGCCCCACCGCAACCCTAATTCCCTGCAGCAAGGAGAGATGTCAGATGGTTCAACACATGTCTTTCTCCAACTGCCCAGCCACAATTCCCCAGGCGCCGAAAGATAAGGAAAAAAAGAGTCTTTTAAGTTAGCAAACTCACCTTTTCTAAAAAGAGTGCGGCAACTGCCTTTTTCCCACACCTCAAGTGACTCACAGGATCGTCCCGACTCTCTTCCTGCTTTTGTAGTCGCCCCAATCCGCTGCCTCCGCCAAGGGGCAGTGCCAAAGCAACCCACAAAAAAAAAAAAATCTTCTCTCAATATCCTCCCAGCGTTCAGAGTTGGATCCTGTTCCAGTTTTGTCCAGCAACGTCCAGGAAGTTTGCTTTTGAGTTCTCAGAAATCCCCGGAAAATTTCTTTTTTTTCCCTTTCATTTGTCCACCTCTCCGTCTATCTCTCTCTCTCTTTTCTTTTTTTCCTCCTTCTTCACCAGCTTTCACTCCACCCCTTCTTGGGTGGTGGCCCAGAAAGTTATTTATTTATACCTGAACAAGAAAGAAAATATCGCAGATGTCAGAAACACCAATAAAATCCAAACTGCGCCACAGAGGATATTGTAAGAGGGAACCAAAAGCCAAAACAAATATTATCCCCGGGCAGGAAATTTAAACGCATACCCACACATTAGGGGGAAAATAAACAACATCTAACTTTGTATAAAGTTCAGCACATTCCTGAATTCCGGAGTTCGTTTGGCATATTCGGAAACCCGGCTAAAAATCAAATGACAGATAATGCAGGGATGTAAAAGGAGCGTCTCTAAATGTTAGGCTTTGAAAAGTGAAGTGACATGTACTGGCGATGTGTGACACACACACACAGACTAGTTAGACAAGGATGGCTGAGCTAGTCTCACCTTCACCTTCACCTTCACTTTTGCCAAAAAAATCTTGGCAGTTGTATGGGAAGAAAAAAATCAGCCACATGGAAACCAATGGCAGTCCTCAACTTATGACCACAATTGGGAGCAGCATTTCTGTTCTAAATAAACCTGTTGTTAAGTGATTCACACTCAATTTTACAACCTTTTTGCCATGGTCGTTAAGCAAATTGTTGCAGTTGTTAAGTAAATCACATGGTCATTAAGTGAATCTGGCTTCCCTCACTGACTTTACTTGTTGGAAGCCAACTGGTAAAGTTGCAAATGGCAGATCATGTGACACCGGAATGCTGCAACTATCATAAATACATGCCAGCTGTCAAACAACCAAATTTTGATCACGTGACCCTGGGGATCATGTGATGGTTGTTGAGTGGGAGGACCAGTTCCAAGTCATTTTTTTAATGATGTTGCAACTTTGAATGGTTGCTAAATAAATGGCTTCATATCAAGGATTACCTATACAGGTATACTTGAAGGAGTTCAATAGTGTAGAACCACTAACACAGATAGTCAGAAATTTTAGAAGTGGCTGGCTGAGGGGACATACCTTTACAGACAGGGCCAAGTTCCCTAGTCTTCTACAACTGAAACTTACAAGCACACAACACATCTCCACTTTGTGTCCCCCTCCTTAACTTTCCAGTCCTTAACATTGGTTCTGAAGAGATGACAGCACAAAAATTTGCATTGTTCTACATCTGCATCTTTCCCAGATAACCTCAGTTCTTTGGTATGGTGGCAATGGCAGCAAATTTGACAACTCCCCTTCTATAGAGACTTTATATTTCAAATATTTCTTAATTTAAGAATGTCCTCTGTTTTAACAGAAGCTTCAAGTCAGGGTTTTTTTAAAAAAGAAAAAGGTCTATACACGTATACATATTTGTACATAAATCACAGAGACAAAGAGCAATGTTTAACTCATCATTCCAATACAATGCAATAAACACATTAATAATAATACATAACATGTTGTATAGATCAGCATTTAAAACATATCCTGGTTTAAATCTTGTTTTGCCAAGCAGAGACACATTCTGTTGATCAGCATGAAACATAATTCATGCTTTTTTTAGCATCTCATATGCATTTTAAGGAACCCAATAGTGGTGAGCAAATCAGAGAAGGGAAAAAAAAAAGAGAAATTGTCATCAGTCATTAACTTTCAATGTGAAACTCTTCATAAATAAAAATCTACACCAGCAAGAAAAGCAGAGCATTTCCTTCCAACATGCCAGCCATTTTTTCAGAGTTGTTTAAAAGATTGTTTTAATCCAGGTTTTTATTATAGCTTTCTTATAATCTCATCATTAGCTGGCTTTGATCATATACAGGTAGTCCTCAACTTATGACTGCAGTTGAGCCCAAAATTTCTATTGCTGAGACGTTTGTTAAGTGAGTTTTGTCCCATTTTACGACCTTTCTTGCATCAGTTGTTAAGTGAATTACTGCAGTTGATAAGTTAGTATGCCGATTATTAAGTGAATCTGGCTTCTCCATTGACTTTGCTTACCAGAAGGTCACAAAAATATGACTAAACTAATATCACTAATAATAACTAATATCACTAATATCACTAAACAAACCGTTGTAAATTGAAGACTACCTATACTCTGGCACGTTTGAAGAACCTTTCCTCATTGCCTGAAATAATTCTTGAATTAACCAGAACAAAAATAAAACCCTAATACAATTTTTTTTTGCTGTTGATATTTTGCCTCCGACCAAGAAGCTCATTTTTTTTCCTTTTGGAGAATGGGTGAAGAGACCCACAGATAAATGAATCAGCCCAGACTTCAGAATATTCTTCTCCTTCTCCTTCTTCTTCTTTTTTTTTTTAATTGAGCAATTAACTCAAATCAGAATTGACAAACATGGCCCCTGCATTCCAATGGATTGATGTAGTGTTGGAGACAGAAAGAGGGTGAGATTAAGGAAACAAAAAGACTAAAAGATGAATGGTTCATGTGGGGAAGAGTGGTTGCTCTGAAGATTAGTTATGTTTTTCTTTTTTTAAAAAATGGGAAGGCAGATCTGAGTTGGCGTGTAGAACACAGGGGTGAGAGAGGTTACTGCAAATAGCCATAAATCTCAAGAGTCCAGGATTTTTTTATCTCTATTTATGAACATCAGGTTCAAAGCTTGTATTTCAGAGTAGACAAAACAAGAAATGGGTAAAGAGATCAAAAGGCGAGCAAGAGACAGCTATGGCTCCCTGTAGCCCTCTTCCACCACATTCCTCCCCCATCTCAGCATCTTTTTTGGTCTTTATTTAGTTATAGCATTTTTTTTTCTTTTCAGAGAAGAAGGTTGAGGAGGACCTTCATTTCTGCATGCTCAGATTGGCTTTTTAAAAGAAGTTCTAGCAAGCAGAGGGGGGGGGGAACTTTAACCCTCCGGTCATCTGAACTGGCATACTTGATCACAATCCTTCCTATTTTATTGCATGTCTAAACTGTAACTTTTTTCCTGTTTTATTAGCCCTGTGAAAATGGATACCGTTATGCAATTGGGAGAGTTAAACCTATGATAAAAAACTATGATTAGACTAATGCAGGGGTAGGAATATATCGCCTTGGGGTACTTCCTCTGGCACCTTTGAGCTTTGCCTAACTTGAATTTCCTTTCGTGTTGAAGAAAACAGCACGGCAGTAGAACAAATGTCCTGTTTTTAATATCTTAGTTTCTTAATGAGATGACCTCGGGCCTCAAATATCTCTGCAGAGAATAAAAAGTTATAATCCCAGTTGGTTATTTTGAAATGCCCCACCTGCTCAAAGAAGAAAAGAAAAACACTGAAGGAGGATAGAATATCTTGGAAGAGTTAGTAAGGAAAATGAATTTAAACTATTTCTCTTTGGGGGAAAATGTCAGGATTGTCCATGTCTAGGATTTGATTTTTTTTTTTTAATTTGATTTATATGCCACCCTTCTCCGGAGACTCAGGGCGGCTTACAATGCGTTAAGCAATAGCCTTCATACTTTTGTATATTTTATACAAAGTCAGCTTATTGCCCCCACAAACTGGGTCCTCAATTTACCCACCTTAGAAAGGACGGAAGGCTGAGTCAACCTTGAGCCTGGTGAGATTCGAATTTACAGTAATTGCAGACAGCTGTTGTTAATCACAATGCTTCAACAATTCATGTTGGCTGAGCCAACATTATTTTGATTAATATCCCACCTTTATTATTTTTACAAATAATTCAAGGTGATGAACAAATCCAGTACACTTTTCTCCTCCTATTTCCCCCACAACGACCACCCTGTGAGGTGAGAAGAAGCTAAGGTGAAATTTGAACTCATGGTCTCATACTTTCTAAACCAGTGCCTTAATCACTAGATCAGAGATGGACAATTATGGTGCCTTCATGGCCTGTGGATTTCAACTCCTAGAATTCTGGGAGTTGAAGTCCACAGGTCCTAAAGTTGCCATAGTTGCTCAACCCTGCATTAGACCAAACTGGCTGTCAATTAACAAAATGCCTATTTAATGAGCAAGAAAAACCCCTTTCTATTAGAGTACCTTGTCACATAATCTCAACAGACTTTTTTAAAAGCCATCAAGAAACCATACAGAGATTGGCAAAGCACCAGTTCAAATCCCAGTGAGGATCACCTGTGCAGTAAGGGATGCTGGGAACTGTGGTTCAGAGACCCCTAACTAAGCTTCAGGTTGCCCTACACTTAATTATGGGCTCATACTACCATACAGTGACAGTCCTTAACTCAGCCTCCTGAAAGTACCGATTTTGGGCTTAAGAAACAGAATGGTGAATTCAGGTTAAATCCATTGGCTATTTTCTTTAGAATCCTGTATTGTTCTAATCAAATTAAATAAAGAATTGGGGGTTGTCTCATCCAAGCATGATAGTAGCAGCGTATCATATTAAAAATGTGAAATGCTTCTCAGGTCAAGAGCAGAAACATCTATCATTGGAATAAATATGAACATACTTAAAAATGAGCAAAATACGGGACCTTTGGTAGAGGGTGAGAAAAGTAGAGTATTGATTTATCAACTATAAAGGGAAATCAACCATATGATTAATGGTTTTGTTTCTTTTTAATTGGACAGCAGTTTCTACTTTTTATGCCTTCAGGCACTGGCAAATTGGTGTCCTTGAGATGTTCTGGAATTTTAGATGCACCAGCCTCATCCAGCCAACATCCAGATATTGAGAAAGTACAAGCCAAAACAA